TATTAGAAAGTGCTTATTTTTTGTTAAAAAATCTGGCTACGCATCCTGATCAGCATTTTTTTTAACAATTATCTATACAATGGAAAGTATTTTTTATTCAAAATATGTAACATCGCAAGGATCTAAAGTTGCAATTAACTTTAGCCGTGTAGGCTCAGGGGATAGAGCATTCGCCTTCCCGGCGATACGAATTCTGCACCGGGCTTGCACCGCCCACAGTGCTGACTTAAGATGTCCTCAATGGTAGACGGATCATGGGTACATTGTTTTAAATTTTTTTGGACTTAAATATTCAAAAAGAAGAAACTATCTACATTGTTTTCCTACACGATAAAAAGAATGATGTTAAGTTTAAAATGAACTAATTGCTGGGAAATTTAATATATCTAAAAAGATTTATTTAAATACCTTTGTGATCGAATCAATAGAATTGAAAGAATTTGCCGAAACAAATATGTCCATTTCCAGTAGATATAGGTTAACCGAAATTCTTAAAATTTGACAAATTCAATACTAAATATCATAAAATTAAAAAAAAATAGTGATGTAAATTTTTAAATGCGTTTTTACATTTTTAACAATGTTCCATTTCTGGAATATTGACGTTTGACGTACTTACTTTTTTACTGAGGGAGGGGAAGAACGCTTCGGCTGTATTCCAGAACTAGCCAACGAACTCCTTCAATATTCAATTAAATGTTTAACCATCTATTTAAAATTATTCCACCTTTTATTAAGTGTAAAATTTGAATTATTCACACTACTGTATCATTATCTTGCACAAATGCAGATTACAGTTCAATGTAAGGTAACAAAAAAATCAAATGCATTTCTTTATAAGCGCGTCATAAAATTGTCTCCCCGTAGTCTCTACCAACGCTTTAATTTCATACTTTGTAATCCGGCAATTGAATAACGAAAATATTTTAAATCATTTTTGCAAATTATTCATAAGAACTTGACTACCTTTCTCCCTTCATGTGTTCCTCTTTTGTTTCATCTATAAAAATTTTTGAGTTCTATTGAAAATTTTATGTGAATTTTTCTGGAATTTTCGTGATACTTTCACTTGTTAAAAGCTTGTTTACCAATCAGTCTCTTTCCTTTCTAATGTCCCTCATACTATTATATTAATATATTTTGATTTGTTAATACAATATTTGAAAGCACTATGTTTGTGGAAAAAATCGTGTGTTTTGATAACTGTATTATACCTCTTCATCTAGGTCATTTTGTTAAATATTCTAGTTTTAATTAATTTTGTCTACTTTCTTTCAAATTTTCAATATTTTTTTCTCTTTCAAGTTCTGAATGTTTTTCTTTTTTTCTTTGCTTTTTTTGTGTTATTATATTATATTATTGGCTCTACGTACTTGTAGCAACTGAAAGAGAGGGATAGATATACGTTTTTTAATTTCCTGTCTTTAGGACGTTACGTGTGTTAGGACGTTGCTCTCCTGGTAAAAAATGTGTTCAATATTTAAATTATTCTTCATGTTGTACCCGGTACGGAGAGCCTAAATCAGAGGGGAACTCCAGATCGACATCCTGCTACTCTGAAAGCAAAAGCGAAAGCAAACGACTTTTTGAAATGCATCCTATTCCCGAAACTTTACCGTCCTATAAAGTGTGTGGTGATAAAAGATGCAACACTTGCCCTAATATTGACAAAAAACATACATTTCTTTATAAAGTTAGCTCCAAATCTTTTCGTAAAATTAAAAATGTTATTTATATGTTACCCTGTGGTTTCTGTAATATGAAATATGTTGGACAAACCAGTAACTCACTTAACATTCGAATTAATCAACACCGTTCTGATATAAACAGTAATAAGACTATCAATAACCAGGAATTGAATCATTTTAGAGTACATAAATTTAACAGTGTCAAAATTAATATTTTAGATACTATAGAAGATTTAGATTTAAGACTACAGAAAGAAAATTACTACATGCTTTTCAACAAAACATGCAGTTTCGTCGTATGGGCAAAACGATACCTTCCAACATACACAGATTAACTTTAATAACTCCTCAACTTATTCACCTTTTTATATTAAAGATAAGCGTACAAATTGAGGTAAACGGGGTTCAAGAAGTAATAGAAACTCTCTTAATAGTGAAAAATTAAATATAAATTCTCTTTCTAATATGGAAAAAGATTTTAATAAACATTATAACATTTAACCAATTACAGATTTTGTCTTCTTCCTTAAGAATTATGATGTATATAAGTTCTACGATTTTATTATTTACTTTTCTTTTATTAATTTGCATTTCAAAATTCTTTGTTTCGATCTTATAAAGGCCAAAATGAGCAAAATTTCGCCAAATAAAAAGAAAAGTTTAGATAATTTATATTTCGTTATTAACTTCTAAAATCCTATTTTCGATAAGATCAAATTTCACAACATTTTTGAAAATTTCAAAGCTTTATTTCCATTAAAAGATTTTAACATAATTAAAAGTTTCAAATATAATAAATCTCTTGGTAGAACCATATTTAATTATAATGATATAAGCAAACATTTAGGGAGTAGTAATATATCCGATTATGAATGTCACTGTGAGGAAGAGAAATATTTTGATTTTGTTGATAAACATCATAAACATATTATTACTGGTAATTTAAATATTATAGAAAATATGTTATCTCANAGGAATTTAATGATAAAAGGCACAAAATTTAGACCCATTTACCATATATCAATCAATAAAATTCTAAAATACTTTCTTAATGATCTCAATAGTTTTTTTTATAGATATCAAATAGATTCTCTTTACCTTTACCAATCTTTACCTATCTTTAGGTATGCTAACAGACTGGAAATGGGGTGTTTATTATTACTTGAAAAACTTTGTTTTCAATAATAAGGATAATTTAAATAAGAGTAACAATCCAACAAATTTTTCTGATATTATCCAATCAATTAAGCAACTTTAAAAAATTTTTTTAATTACTCCCATAGACAAAGCTAACAATAACTATGCGATATTCCGTAAAAAATTCTATGCTGAACTTTTAAATACGGAATTAAAAAATAGTAAAGATTTTAAACTAAGTAATTTCAATAATAATATTGTCATTAAAAAAATTTTAGCCTTTTATAAGAGATTAAAAATTAAAATTCGCAGTGTACAATTTCCTTACTTAATTATCAGTCCTAAATTTCATAAAGTTCCTGTAAAATTTAGAACTATCACAAGTGGATCTAATACTTATTTAACTAAACCTGGTACCATTTTCTCTAACAACTTAAATAAAATCATTAACAATATTTCTAAAGAAAGTCTCTCTTGGATTATCACTAATAATCAACCGATTTTAGATTTCATTAAACATAATAAAATTAATTCTATTGCGACTTTTGATTTCCAGGATCTTTTCAATAGCATTCCCCTTTCTAATCTAAAAGATGTCCCTTTGAATTATTACTATGATTTTCAAAAAATATCCTTTGTTGTGATTTTGATTATTGGAAAATACTGATTAATTTTTGCCTTTTTAATACTTATCTTTACAATGGAAGGGCTATTTTTCTTCAAATTGATGGAATACCACAAGGATCTAATTATTCATCTCTCTTAACTAACTTATTTTTGCTTTATTATGAAAAAAATTATACTCTTAGTATTAAATTTGTTTTTACATATATTGATGTTTTAATTATCTTTAATTTTCAAGATTTGACGATTTTATTGAATGATATTTTCCCTGAGGAATTAATCTTACTTCGAAATCATGATGATAATATTAATTTCAAATTTTTGGATTTGGTTATTATAAAAATTGAAAATATCTGCTTTGTTGATTTATACGATAAAAGAAATGATTTTAATTTTGATATTAATAAACTAATCCCTTGGAATTCTGATGTTTCTAGGAGCATCTTCGTTAATTTATATTATTTTCCCATGTGCCATTTCGGGCAAATCCGTGGTCAAAATTATTTACTAAAAAATTCCTTTACAAAAAATGTCCTTTGTTAATCTATATAATTTTTCCATGTGCAAATCCATTTCGGGCAAATCAGTGGCTAAAATTATCCACTAAAATTTTTTTCTTTGTTAATTTTTTATCATTTTTCCATGTGCAAATCCATTTAGGACAAATCCGTGGGTACAATTATTTACTAAAAATGTCTTTATTAATTTTTCCATGTGCAAATCTATTTCCGGCAAATCCGTGTTAAAATTATCTATTAATTTTTTTTTCTTTCATAATTTATATAATTTTTCATGTGCAGATCCATTTCGGCAAATCCTTGGCTAAAATCATTTGCAAAACAGGCAATTTATGTTTCTCTTTTCTATTTTATATTTTTTCTTAAATATTTATTTTCTGAAATTNATGATCAAGTTTTTAAATTATCCAGTATAATATTACCTTGCGCATATCCATTTCGGGACCATCCTTGGTAACTAACAAATCAATGCACAGCTTAACAAAGTACTTCAGCAATGCAGTAAGAACGGCACTTTAAAACAAAACCCCTCTATTTACACTTAATTTGTGCTTTTGTTTTCATATTTTGTAATCTAGCAATCTTGTTGCGAAAATATTTTTAAATCATTCTTGAAAAATTTCCTGTTTATGTAAGTACATCTGATTTCGCTACTCGCCTTATAGTTTTTGTTTTATATTGTTTTTTCTTTTTCTTTTATTTTATTTTCTCTTTTTACGTGCTATTTTTACTTATTGTGTTCTATTTTATTTGATGTAATTTTTGTAAAAAAATTTTTTTGAGTGCTCCTCACACTATTGTATTAATATATTTTGCTTTAGCTATATTGATACAATATTAGAAAGCATCCACACTCTTTTTTGCGGATATAATCGTGTGGGCAGATGAAAATGTTATATCTTTTTTTTCGGTTTTTTTAAAAAAAATTTCATTCTTTTCTCTTTTTTTTAATCAGTTGTTTGTTATTCTTTCAATCATTATTTCCCCCTTCCCCCATTTTCATATGTCTATAATTTTCCTTCGTTTTATCTTTTATATTTGCATTATCGAAGAATATATTAAATCGATGCTATAATTTGAGTCTTCAGCATTTTCCTTCAGCATGAAGTCTGTTTAATATTTCTGTGCCGCAGCTCTATAATAAGAAAAAAACATATGTAAAAATTAACTAAAAAAAATCTTAAATGAAATTTAATATGAATTATTTTTCGTATTTTAAATAATTTTTCGACGAAAATAACAAGTATATAATACTATTTGAATAAATATGTCGACACGACAGCGTGGTTTATAAATGATTAGCAAATAAACCATCCCAGCTTGAAACAATTTTAAATTTAACTATCATAGTTAACGAGCATGAAGTTCGTATAAATAGCCTCTTCCTATCGAAATTGGATGCAAAAACATAACACGTCATCATTAAAAAATATTTATAACAAATAAAGGAAGAGGGGAAAGAAATTTAAAAAAAAAACAATTTTTTTAATAAAAGCTTATAAAAATATATTTTTGTAAAAATTCTTGAGTGTCTATGTTTAATCTTTTGAAAAAAATAAAATTATCATTCAAGCATGCTTGCTGTGTAAGAATAACGTTAAACCAATCAACCTTAGTAAATTATTCAAAAAAGAAAAAAAAAACATTTGCTGCAAGGTTGCTTGCTTTCGGCGCCTTACGTGTCAAAATAATTTCTTTACAGATTAGTTACTATTCCGTTTCTGGAAACTATAAGCAGAATTATTGTCACAATACTTATATGAAATAGCTATTTTAATTTATAAAGTACTTATAACCCATTCCCAATGTATTTAGTGTCAGTAAGTCAATAATAGTTCGAAAAAAATTTTTTTTATTTTTTTTTATTTGAATATCTTTTAAATATAGCATCGCAATATTGATATAGTATGTTTGATACAGTAGAGCAATCTGAGCTAAACTTTAAGAACAAATTTAATTAATTCTTCAGTGATTTCTGGATAACTAAATACTATTTCTAAAGATAGCACAAAATATTAATTTATAATAACATCAAGTGATACTTATACTTACACTTGCTTTTTCTATTCCATCACATGCTTCAGATTTGGTGAAATCAGCACACGTTGACTAAAAAATTATAATTTTTTTTAAGAGAAATACATATTTAACACTAATAATACAAATATATTTCTCTCCGCTTGTGATTTGATTTATTGATTAACTATCATTAATTTTCAAGATTATACAATTAATAATGTTGCTCCGTAATCATGATGATAATATTAATTTTAATTTTTTGGATTGAGTTATTAAAAAAGAAGAAAATAACTGCTTTGTTGATTAATACGATAAAATAAATGATTTTGATTTTAATATAAATAAGCTTATTTCATGGAATTCTACAGTTTATGAAAACAACTACTTAAATACCACTTTTAATCAAGTGAATTGAACTAAAATACTATGTAGTTGTTATATACCTATCCAAAACTCAAATAACCAAACTCTTTCAAAATTGGAAGAAGAAAAAAGCAATACCAAACGAAAGTAATTAAATTCAACATAAAATCATTGAGTTAATTGTATGTGATTATTAATCAATTTACTCAAAACTTCTTTGTTACTTTTTAATTTAACCATGTGCAAATCTAATTCGGACAAATCCATGGGTAAAAATCTCTGCAAAACGGGCAAATGATGTTTTCCCCTCATAAAAGTTAATTTTCCAAAATTATAAAAATTGTATTATTAAATATCAACCTTCTTAATCATAAAATTCTTTAAATTATCCAGTATAATATTATTACCTTGCTCACATTCATTTTTGGGCCAATCCTTGGTAACTATTCCTTGGTACACGCGCTTCAGTACTGCAGAAAGAACGAGCCATAAATAAAATCTCCTGATTTTTTAGCTCTATTTCTGATTCTATTTTCATATTTTTTTTATCTGGTAATCCTATTATGAAAATATTTTGAAACACATTCTTGGAAGGTTTCCGTGTATATAAGTTTATTTGAATTCGCTACTCACTTTATAGATTTCGTTCGGTTCCGTTTTTTTACACGATATATTTTTTTACTTAATGTGATCTATTTTGTATGAATTTTAATTTTCAAGTGCTTCTCACACTATTGTTTTGATTTATTTTGCATTGGCGATATAGATGCAATATTAGAAAGCTGTCTTTTCTGAGAATATAATCGTGTGGGCTGATGAAAAGATTATATCTTTTATTTTCCGGATTTTTAAGAAAAATTTTGTTCTTTTTTTTTCTTCCGGTTTTTTGTTATTTTTAATTTTTATTATGATTTTTCTTTTTTTCCCCCTTTTTTCATTGTTCTGTAATTTTTCCCTGGNATTAAATATCTTTAGTAAAAGATAAGGGTAGAAATTCTATTTTGGGACTTCAAGGCTAAAAACATGCCAATGAATAATAATTAGATTTATACTTCAAAAGAGAAGTTATTTTAAGATCTTTCACTTCCATATAAGGAAAGATGAAACGATTTGCTATGAGTAATAAATAAATTGATGAGGCGTAGGAATACAGAAAAAGGCAATAATGACTGACCTCTTCACAACTTGTAATCATCCTTTAAAACGCAGGACCGAATATTTTTGCGCGGCTTTTTGGTGTATAATGTTTACCAACTAAACTCCGTCAGATCTGACTGTAAATCTGTCTCTCCCTCTCCGTCTGGAGAGGGATGAAACTGCTATTTCACCATCGTTTAGTAAAATAAAAGATTATGCCGAAACTTGACTCGTTAATCATGCTACTTGGATTGTAAATAACTAAAAAATAACGGTGTGGTTCCACCGTTATTACAAGCCAGGCAGGATGTTGGCTTCGCGGAAGAAACTTAGCAATTCTATATATTGAGAACTAGGCCTAACGTGACTGCTACCTCGTCGAGAAGGAAGGATCAGTTTTTCACCCCCTTGGATTGAAGAGAAAAACTTACTTCATTGGATTCCTGATAGAGATAAAAATGTTTTCGATTAGAAATCCCATCCCTTTACAAGTGACCTACGGAAAGTTTAGTTATGCCTGTGCTACTCTGGATTAATCGTCGATGAAGTGTTTTCTCCCCCCGGAATGGTTTACGATGGTCTACTTAGATGTTCGACATTCCCTAACCTCCTACTCAGAACTCAAAGAAAAATAAGCTTCAATTTCTCCTTCACTATCGCATTCACTATAATTATGAATCATTTTAACGAACAGAAAAAAGAAGAAAAAAATATTTTTCTCCTATCAACTTTTATCTGATGTTGTGGCTATCAAGATATATTTTGGATTAATTCGAACTTTATCCAGCTACATATCCTTTGAGTATTTTTTTTTAAACAGTTATTTTGTTGATTTTTAATGATTAATAAGAAAAAGAAAGTGAAGTGCGCGAATGATTTTTTTTTCCTCTTCGCCAAATATTGAAGAAGAAAAAGTGATATATAAATTTTTTTTTTTCTTCTTTCTCAAAATTTGTGATACTGTTATGATTACATATTTTAGTGAAGAAAAAAAAATTTTTTTTTTAAATTCTGAATAATTGAGTATATTACTAATGTTGGATTGCATTTCTTATATTTATATTCGTTTTATTTTTAAATTATGATATTTTTTTTTTTCTCTTCAACGAAATTGATAAAGGTCGACGTTGGAGAGTAGGGTGTTCATTTTTTATTGAAATTAGATATGAGAAATGAGAAAACTTTTTATTATGAATAATTGAATAGAATGTTTTTAAGAGTTAGATTGCATTTCTTGTGTTTATATTGCTTTTTTTTAAAAATATGATACGTTTTTATAGTGCATTTAAAATGTTTTTGAAGGAAATAAATGCGGTTCAAACGTCAATTAAATTAATAATGGCAAACAAAATTAAGTTATTTTTTTAAGCTTTTGTTTCCTAATGATTTATCACGATTAAATCGAAAAAAAAAAAACTTTATAGAAATTTGTAAAAATTTTGCTTTATAGGACTTGGTCAAAACTAAATATTCCTATTAAGAAATGTGAAAACTTGAATGCTTCCCAAACAAAAGGACAGTTAACACTTAACAAAATTTGTGAGTTTCCCTTATTACGATAGGCGAAAATTTTAACTCAGTTAAGTTTTTATACTTGATACTGATTTTCCATATGCTTTAGTAGGGTTGTAGACTTGCAAAGATTTTTGTTTGCTTATTGATTGTGTCGGGCCAGTTGTTACTTAATTTGGTAAGAGATTGATCACCTCAGCTAATTCAAACAATGACAACTTAACTTTGCACATTAGACAGCAAACTTCTAAAAATGTTAAGGTTAAAAATTGTGCAAAAAAAAAAGTTTGATGTTTCAGTAAAAGTAAACATCGAAAAAATAAAAAAGTTGAGGATGTTTCAGTAAAAGTAAACATCGAAAAAATAAAAGGTTTGATGTTTCGGCAAAAGTAAACATCGAAAAAATAAAAGTTGAAGATGTTTCAATAAAAGTAAACATCGGAAGAAAAAAAAGGTGAAGGGTAACAAAAAGAAAAGAAAAAATAGGAAAAAGAAAGAATGTGATTATGAATTAAATAAAATAAAAATGTAAGAAAACGAAATTTTGAAATAGTACATTTATCAAAACTTAGGAAATATCACAGCCCACAAATGTTAAAATTAAATCATGAATAATGTCCAAAATAAATGTTTTTACTTTCTTCAAAGAAAGAAGTAATCCCTATATTTTTGAGAGATCCGAATCGCGTGTGGAGATGTTTGGCGAGGAAACTTGAACTTTTTTTTCTCAACACAGTGAAAAAAAATAAATAATTAAAAAATATTATAAACTATTTTTCTTTATGTCCAGTCTGGATCTCTCATTTTTAATGTGCTTCATGAAATTCTGTTTTCCTCCATTTCAACGGGGAATGCTGAATTTCATCTAGTAAATAACCCCCATTAACCATACAGAATCTTAAATTCTGAATAAATGACACTTGTTGTCCAGTTCGTTTTGCATAAAAATTTTGTATATTTTTGTGTGGAAAAATTTTTGAAAAGTTTAATAGAAAAGTTATAAATTTATGTTTAATTTTTCTTTCTGTTTAGTTCACTAAACATATAAATTTTATTATTATGTTTTATTGTTGCTACTGCAAATAATTTTTTTTCACATGTTGAAAAAAGGTTATTTGTAAGAAAGAGGACAGTCATACCAACATAAAGTTTATATTCATAGTATTCTAAATTTTTATTTTGGCTTACCAAAATTTTTTTTGGGGGAGATGTAATACAAAAATTAAATACTTTTGTATTAATAAAAGCATTTAAAACTTCATTCATTTTCATAAAATACCTTTGGTAAAGGATAAGGGTAGAAATTCTATTTTGGGACTTCAAAATAA